TACGAACTCATTGGCTCACAATGGGTTGATCAAGGCACTGCGTACTGCTCTGGACAACTTGATGACGCCAACCAAGCATACCTTGTCGCACGTTCAGAGGCGGACTTTGAGAAAATTATCCTTTCAACGGCTATTCGTTCAAATGACGTCTACCAACGACAACAAGGTGCGCGACATTCCTGCGTTTCGTATCGCCATTCTGTGGAGCTCTACGGGATATGATACATCTCTTTCGTTACTCACACGACCTCCAGAGAGCCTGATCGTATGGACGGAACCTGACGGAGCTGACTACGCCCTGAGCTTCCAGGATGCGGAAGGATGTGCAGAGGTGTGGAACTTTATCATAGAGGTGCAACGTCACTTGAATTCCTCAGGTCAGTACCGTCTAACCCTCCACCCACGCCTCACACACCCATGTCTTTCTCTTAACATGGATGCTACGTCTGAAACTCATCCAGAAGATCAAGGCATTGGTTCGTCCTCTCCCGGCGGCGATCATTCTGCAACTACGGCAAATATCATTCGCACTGGTCATTTGCCCACCCCGCAGCTAGGCAACATCCAAGATATTGAGGGTGCAATTAAGGCACTTGCAAGGGGTCAGGCAGTCAAGGAGAAGATATGCGAGTACATACAACGTGAGGTGAGCTGTGCTCCTGACGTCTCACGCACGATTCACTTTTTGGTGACCATGTTAACGAGGATGATAGAAATACATCAAGGCCCTTATCGATGTCCTGAATATGGCAGAGGATCTCGAGAGCCTCGATAACCTCCACGCTCTGTGTAGTCTCATGCAGACCATCTGTAGGACTTGATTCTATATCTTAGTAACGTCACTGATTTCATTGGCAGTGATGATGAACGATCATGGCATCTACGAGCACATACTCGAGGATGATATCTTCTTTGGGGTGGTTGGCATGCTGGAATGTGCGTTCTTGGATCGCTTTTCTTTCGGATTTTGACCATGCGGCATCAGATGACCCCGAGTTCCCCACACACAAGGCCAACTACCGCGAATTCCTCCACATCAGCACCCGCTTTCACCAACCCATTCCCATACAAGACGAAGCCATCCGGAAGAAAGTCCACCACACCTACCGCCTTCAGTTTCTCAAGGACGTCGTCCTTGCACGTGCTCTTGACGACTCGACGTTCAATGTCCTGAACTCGTGTATCATCTTTAACCAGATTGATATCATCAACCATGTCCAACAGGACCCAATTTTCCTGCATGAGATAGTCAGGTTGTACGTGAGCGAGGAGGTGCTTGCAGGACCCAAGAAGGACCCGGGGGATGAGCCGGAGGGTAAATCCATGGATGCGGATGGAAAGCCCCATGGGAAGATGTCAAATGGACATGGAGCGCGGACGACCGGCATGTCATTCTCATTCGGGCCTCCAGACGACCTCACCGAACACGACCTCGCGTTTCGCCGCGAGGTCGTGATACTGATCCAGCAGCTCTGTGCAATGGGCAAGAACGTTCAGCTTCCTGCGCGAATGTCGCTCTTTCGAACACTGGTTGACCGAGGGATACTTTTTGCTGTTCAGTGGGCGTTTTCCCTACCTGAGAAAGAAGAGATGTCGAAAGGTGTGGTCAGTGCTGCGGGTGAAGTCATAGCCATCCTGCTTGATCATGATTTGCACGGTGTTCGTGGGCACGTATACAAACAGGCGGCCGCACTTGAAAGAGAAAAAGAGGCTGGTCGGCTGGGTGTCGACAAGGCGGAGACACTTCTGAAGCTGATATGCAGAGTCATGTCGCAGAGTCGGGACGTGGCCGTGCAATGTCAGCTCGGCGACGCGTTGAAGGCTCTGTTAGATGTTTCGCAGAACGCTGGCGGTCCCGGCGCCGCGCCTGTGAGGTACCTTCTCGAAGTTGCGAGCACTTTGCTGATTTTGCGATTAGGCTGTCATCAACGCAAAGATGTTGGCTCGTCCCAAAGACGATCCAGGGACTGAAAGGTTTCTGGACTACTTCTACAAGAACTGCATCGAGGTCCTGTTCAGACCATACAGCGATATACCCGACTTCAGGAAGCAGACAGGTGCACAAGTCCCTTTTTAATGCCATCGATCCGGTCTAAATGTGACCATTCTAGAACCGGTTTTGAGGCTATCACGGGAGAAAACCAATCTTTTCCTATACTTATCCGATTTACTATGCAATTTCGCCCAGCAACATGCATTCCGGAGCCATTTTTACATGCTTTCTTCGAATATATCTGCTCGAATGGCTACTCTAATGAGCGCTCGAGACAAGCACCTCCGACTGGGTCCGTGCCGCCACGTTTTCAAGGGGGATTCTTCCAATCTGATGCCCGTTGTTCTGTTCTTATCATAGCTGCCTTCCGATTCTTCCGAATATGCCTCAAGATTAACAACAAAAACTTTCTCGGGCACCTTATCAAACTCGATGTTTTCAAGCCCATACTCGAACTTACTCTACAAGAGTCACATCGGGATAGTTTGCTAAGTGCGTCATATCAAGAGTTCTTCGAACATATGCGACGGGTAAAGCCTCATCCCCGCTATTCACGACAGCCAAGCTTACCCGGAGGTTGTAGGAAAATATCAAAGACCTCATTAATCACTGTATGATAAATCATGGAGATATAGTCCGCAAACTCAGCGATACAACGCTGGGTGGACCACGCTTCTCTGCATTCATACGCCGCTGGGAGATCAACGTTGAGCCGCCACCCCAGGAGGAAGCCAAGAATGAACGGTAGGTTACGACTCACTTCAATGAACGTGACTCATCAAATTTGTCACAGAACTTCCACGGATTCGCGCCGCATGGGCCGGAATAGCGACGTCGAAGAGGAAGAATACTTTAACAGGGACGATGATGAAGCCGACACACCACCTCCGTTCATCAGTTCAGCAAATCTGGGAGGTCGTGCAGCTTCCTCACTGAACGCCATAAAGCGCAAACAACGTGGTGCGATGGCTCATTCCAAGGGCTTACGGCCCCAGGGTCTCGTACTCCCTCGCACACCTCCCCTGCCATCCCTCTTGGACTATGGCGACGACGACGACGATATTGGTCCGCCAACTCCTCCCGAAACATCACCCCCCATTCCTGTCTCGAAAACTCCCTCGAAGGAAAATCCCTCCACGCCACTCTCTTCATTCGTGGACATACCTCCAAGCCCACGGCTGGCTCATCGCCAAATATCTCGACCACCTTCACTTCCCGGGCGGCGCTTGTCCGAAGAGGATCACAGCGTTCTAGAACCGCTGCTGTGCCCGAGAGATCCTCCTCTATCACCTTCGATAGGCGAAGATCCTGCCAAGCCCTCCACTAAAGCCCAGCTACCCCCAATACGCCTTTCCGGAAAACGGAGAAGGGATGATGACGAGGAGGACGGATTGCTTGAACGCCTCGCAAGCAAACCCAAACGCACAGATCTTGGGGCGCAAAAGGGGGGTGGTCCCATCAGTGGTCGAGCTGCGGCGATGAAACTGGGGGACGACCCACCGAAGCGAATGAAATTGATGTTCCGCCCTACAAGTATCGCTATCACACAATCGGCATCGCCTGTACCTTCAGAACCTGGTGCTAAAGATGGGGACACTGGTTAGATGTTAATTTATTCTTCGTCGCATTGTTCCCTTAGATCATGTGTTTTACGAGCGACTCATCTGAGTAGTTAGTTGTAGTTCGACAAGAGTTGTTTGGTACTCTGCGCTGTACCTCCTCTACATCATATCTTTTGTTCGTTGCACATATGATTGAACATGAGTAGCAGCTACATGTATATGCCATTGATAAGTATGATTACCCGGTTGCATGTAAATCTGTCGAGGAGATAGGTACATCAAATGACATGCGCTATAACTAATAGTTCGTCATCGCCTACTTTACAATACATGTGATCAAGTAAAACACGAAACCGCCAACTTCTGATCTAGAGGAACTGCGGCAGAGAAACCTGGCCAAGTCGAACTTTCCCCAGACATGGCCAAAAGATTCGTCAATACAGTCGTGTGATATCCGAGCATTTGGAACGAAGGACAACGGAAGGCACGTATGATGAAGTCCATAGTAAATTTCTAACAATCCTCGGGAAGAACAGGGTTCTCGTCGATGAATTTGATTCGCATCGACGCACTGGGTGCTTCAAGGATATCAGATCATCACTGGTCACCGCCTCGCTTATCTTTTCAGGTAACCTAACCTTTACAATGTTGAATCGACCGTTGAGCCTCAACGCACGACAGGAATGTTTCAAAAAACATTGTTGGAGTCCGGGACGTCCAGACATATGAAAATTCACTGATGGTTGTTGACGTTGAATCCCGATTCTCCAAAATCTGATTTAAATCCCCCCGATCGGTCAACTCAAAACCGTATTCTCTAGGCCACTCCAAATCGAATGGCATCATTTTCATGAACATTCCTATGATGCCAAGTCACCATGTAGCACAACTCATGCACAGCTCTCGCGGAGCAGCTCTACGCAACTCGGAAGGCAGAACGCAGTTGCAGTGGATGTTTTACGCGTGTGCCGGTAGAGGGTCTGTGAGCAAAATATGAGGCAGGAGTTCCGATAGCTAGTAACCAGCAGTCGGATGTCTTGACTCTCTCTGGATGGTAACCACAAGTGCATCATCCTGAATTATGTTCTCTTCCACCCGACCAACGTGAAGGCTCTAGCAGAATAGCCCGTGCATTGCCACTGCCGCAGCGGTTTGTCAGGTCCTACACTCAGCGCAGACTCAGAGATGTACGTGGGGTGCGCTTGCCATTACTCGATCCGATGTCATCTTCTGGTTGAGCACCATATTGAGATCGGAAAATGAGAGGCAGAATTCGTTGAATTTGCTGGCCCAAGTGTTGGAGGGGTGGTCAGCCCGAAATACTGCCTACAGAGAACATGTTTAGGTGTGGGCAACATTAAAAGCTCTAGCTTCTCGTACCACAAGGATTTCATGCTCAAAGTCCGAGCAATTAGTCGCAGTCCAAAAAATATATCAAAAGAAGACTGCCCCAGTGAGGCTCGAACTCACGACCTTCCGATGGCGAAACCATTAGGGTTATAACAGTCGGACGCTGTAACCAACTCAGCCATGGGGCATATAGACATTTGTCTTCACAAGATTGTCTGGGAAGCCTGGGGATACAAGCAAGCTCAGGCTCCGCGATCATACGCATGCAAAGCGAATGTCTTTGTAATGCCTTCCAATGTTATGTAAAGCCTTGTCGCGCTTTCCCCTGGCCTTCGATGACTAGTACGAGGGAATGGAAGTAATAACAGACTCCTCATTGACTTTCTGATCCATTGATCCTCAGACCTTTCCTGGGTCAGACACTGCTTTTTCGTCTTTATCCTCCTCATAATCCCCCGTTTGCCTCTTCGACTTCTATCACTTCTGCATTATCCACCTCCGAGTGGCCGTATTCGCTGCAGACGTTGGCCTGATCCACATTTCCGTCGTCTTCACCTGCGTAATCATCCCTGCCTTCATCTTGATACCCACCTTGGAACTTCCGTTTTGGTATGACGGCCCAGAAAGCTTCTTCCCAGTCGCGGGTGTCGATCCATTTCAGGAGAATTTCAAAGACCTGTTCGTCACAACGAGGTCACATTCCATAGGGATGATGGCGGAGATAAAGGACGCGACGGAATCAATATCAAGACGAGGCTGAGGACCAAACAAATGAATAGGGAATAATCCACGTTGCAGTTTCACGTAGATTTCTTCTCCTGAACCAGCAAGGGATATCAACTAAAAATCAATTCGAAAACACACCTGGTTGACAGTGAGTACCTTGCGTGTCGCAAGCGCGATGTAGCGACCGATTGGGAGGCGGGCATGGCGGACCATTGAGTCAGAAGCTTTGTTTAAGCAGAGATTCTGTAATCACCAACACGTTTGATGTATGTAGAATAAAAACACACAAAACATTGTGGGTGCTGACCTTGTATCGATTGTGGTCGCATATTCCGCCGATGATATAGGTTTCGCCTTCCTTGAGTTCCAGTAGCTCCTCTTCAGAATCGGCGGTTAGATATACGACGGTTGCACGGATGGCATCAGCCTGCGACCGAAGGCCGTCTTGCATATCAATTTGTTCGCTTAACGACTGGTCGGAAGGAGAAGGCTCTGTCCATAAACGATCATAACCCTCCTCCCACCACTCTGTCTTCAACCATCTCCTGTAACCAGCTGCATTTATGGCATCTAATCTTTCCTTGGTTTTGCCATTAAGGGAGTTGAACAGCAGAGACGAGAATGAATATGCGGCGCGTCTGTTCGCGCTGTACGTGTACGCCAGCTGTGAAGTGAGAGAGTTGATTTCCTATGCTTTGACCATCACCACGTGGGGAATACAAGAGGCAAGCGAGACACTCACTTTGTCCGACATCAGTTCATCAAAACCCAGATCGACGACTACCCTTGCGTTAAAAACTTTTACTTCATTTGCAGCATTGGGTTTGCGTCTCTTTGGAGCAATGCTTTCACCATTTGCAACGGCCTCAGCGCGTTCGCGGCGCTTACGCTTCTTGGCCTCCTTTTCGCGTGCCCTGCGTTCAAGCTTAAGTTCATGGAGCCTCGCTGCTTTTGCGGCACGCTTCTGTGCGTTCTTGGAGAGACCCTGAGGGAGTGAGGCCGCTGTTTCCTGTTCTACTTCTGGCTGACTTGCAGTGTCTGCCGTGGTTGCCATCGACGGGAGGTGGAGACGAATGCAGGTTCCGCCAACGTAATGTCACGGTTTGGCGGCCCGGTTTTGGCCGAAGGGCATATCGATTTCATGAAATCGAGGTTACGAGCTAGACGTGGTTAGGTGCTGTCCTTGTCCACATCTGTGCTCAGGGTGTCATCACTGCGGTATTTATTACTTCCTTCTTCACTTTCTATCCCCCTCGCTTCTCTCTTCAAGATACCACCTCGGCTGTAAAATCCAGAGACTATCTTTGTAGTAACAGTCATTCCTGAAAGAATATGGCAGCACGAGTACCGTCTGTATGTAAAGCCTTTGAGGTCGTTAAGCCGTTAACGAAACACACTGCAACGGTCATCTTCTTGCATGTACGCTTCTTTGGTCACGCTATGGCTATTATTTCGCTAACCTTTGTGCCGAATCATTCCCCCCTACTAGGGCCTTGGTGATAGTGGCAAGGGCTGGCTTGGAATTATCAATGAGCTCAAAGAACAGCTGCCCCACGTCAAGTGGCTCCTTCCCAATGCCCCAAGTCGCAGTATAACAGCCAATCTGGGCTTTGTAATGCCAGGCTGGTTTGACCTGCCCTCCTGGGATCTACAGGACAAAAACGAGGACCGTGCTGGAATGCTCGAGTCCGCCCGCACAATTGACCAACACATCCAAGACGAGGTAGACACAGGTATACCGCCTGGACGAGTTGTCGTTGGCGGTTTCAGCCAGGGCGGGGCGATGTCGCTCTTGACTGCACTCACAGCTCGCGGGGAAGATGGTGTAGCCAGCGGGAAGGAAGGCTGGAAGCTTGGTGGTGTGGCTATCCTGAGTGGATGGATGCTGCTCCAGGACGAGTTTGCAAAGGTTGGTGCAGGTACTGTGCAACTCGACACCATTTTGACATTTTTTGGACAGATGGTGTCTCCTCACTTGACCACTACACCGGTGCTCATGTGTCATGGCACTACAGACAACGTCGTACCTTACATTCTGGGCCAGAAAACCGCGAAAATGCTCACAAACCAATTCAATATGCCAGCGCTCGAAAGTCTTACGCTCTCGATGCAAGTTCCGCGGAGCGGTTACTCGTCCGAGGAAGACAAAATGGGCACGGCAGGTTTAAGCTTCAGATCGTACAGATCATCTGGTCATGATGCATGCGAACGAACGCAGGAAGATTTGAAAGAGTTCTTGAAGCGGGTTCTCCCTCAGTGAGTGCAGAACGCGAAAATTTTCTCGTAGTCACGGGGGGGGGGGGGGGGGGGGGGGGGGGGGGGGGGGGGGGGGGTGGAAGGAATTACGGAAGGAATGGGCACACGTTTATGTGGCTTATCCACGGCGGCCGTTTTCTTGGTAACCCTTTTGACTTCTCTTGTCTGCTCGGATGTTGCGCGCAGTCAGCTCCTATGAGCAGTTGACTGATTACTACCACACATTTCATGTCCTATGCCATCAGTGCCAATTCAACTCAGTGTCATTTTCAAACCCTACTAGTACTTTACTCACAGCTGCCAAAAAACTGAAATGGGTTCCCCTTTGTCACTCTCACATACAATGTCTGGGAGTTTGGGAGGATGGTTGGTGAACAACTCGCGAAATGAAGCAGTGGAAATTAACCCCTGAAGTGCAGTCTGTGGGTCCACATTGAATCCGCATCATCAACAAGAATTCCATATTCCCACATTCATCCAGCAAGGTGCATCTCCATATGTACGTTAATTTTGTATACTTCTCTGATCAAGCTCGAGGGCGTGCCACATTAATGACGAAGGTAGGGTGCCCAGCACGAGGGCCCTGCTCGCAACCCACACAATAGCCATGTATCCCAGTGTCAACGCTATCATCATACCCAAAACCATGCGTCTATGGGCAACCATAGTGGTCATTAAGTGTGTCGAGGAAAGACTACGCAAGTCCAGTGCAGCGAGGTAGCAGTACTTTGTTATATTAGAGAACATCTTTAAGACTTGTCTTCGCAGAACCGCGTTCAAGCGGCTTGGGCTGTGCCGATGAAGGTTTCCATCCGATCTGAGCGAGCAGTAGATAAGCAGGGCGCAATGTATGAAAACCCAATGTATGTATACCATGTATATTATCTGGAACGTTGCTGGGATCGAACTATCTTCGTTTCCATATAGTTCTGAATATGTACTCGTGAATATAACTAGCAACTCGGGTGGCAGGTTAACATCACCTTTATAGATGGCACATGCAGCTGCCAATGTATCACGGTGCATGAAATGCCGCCTAACCAACAACGCTTAGCCTCGTGCCTTCATAGAATCAAGTGTGGCACCCACCTTCCAATAATGGAATTGCTCTCGCCCATATCCTGCAGATCCTTGATGAGTTCCCACATGGAGGGATATCCGACGCACACTTCATCTGTGTCGACAGTAAGCAATGTAAATCCAGCGCGGCCGAGAAGGTTTGAAATATCTTTTGTGTCTGTGAATATGTAGGTGAAAAAAAAATCGCAAGAAATCAAATCATGCAAACCTGTCATGGGTGACACGTGTGGAGATATACCCCCCTCACGGTCGACTTCAGCCAGTTGAAGTGCTGTTCTAAGCTCAAAGAGTGTATCTCCACCAAACATGGCACAAAGGAAAAGGCCATCAGGTTGTAACGCTTCTTTTATCTGCACAAGCACGCCTATACGCTTGTCAGCAAGAGCTTTCTGCAAGGAATCAAGCCCAAAACTGACCTGGAAGGTCGTTCACCCAATGGAGGCTCAGGCAAGAGACGATGGCTTCTTGAGAGTTAAGGGGGAGTGTTTCTAGCAGCCGCTCCTCGTCTGCTTGAACACGCTCAACTTCAACTGGCAAATTGCCTGGGTGAGCATCACGGGGGAAGGACAAATCTGTAGTCGTACCTTCAAACTCTTCATCCAGGTCACGATTAAGTGTTTCCTCTGTGATGGCACGCGCTTAGAGATATAATAGCATGAGTCATAACATGTACGAACTGCTCGAGTCTATCATAAGGACTTTGCGGGTCTTATCGGGCTCTAACAATTTCGAGAAGTGTCCTGGTCCAGAACCAAGGTCAACGACGGTATCAAACTTCCTTTTGATATCCTGCTCGACGCACCAGTCAGTCTGAACTATATCGAACGCGGAATGCATAGACACTTTACCAACAGCCGCTCCATCATTCTGTCTGCAACTTCGTCCCGGACATAGTCTACTATTCTGCTCTGCTCTCCACCGTTTCTGCTCACCGCGCGATCCTTCTGTTTTCGCTTCACTGTACGGTCGAACACCTGATATGCCGACGCGGTTGGCGCTGGGAACAACGCCTCCGAAGCAAATGCCCGGACGGTATAACTTCTAGGAACTGCTTGATGGGCAAATCGGAGGAAGGACATCATGAGTTGCCGTGGGAGGAATGCGTGACATCTGACGCGTTACCTAA